TTCTTCGCCAAATAATATTAGGTTGACCAAATCAATGAGTACGAGATGCCATAGGGCATGGGAAATGCAGGAAAAAATAGTCTGAAACCCAGAAGCGAATAGAAGAATAATTGCGGGGCCAGATGGGTAAGTTTAAACGTTCAGTAAAGGAATAGGATGTGAAGATGTGGACTGGATTCAACTGTCTCAAGATGGGGTCCATAGTAGTGAAAATTTTTATTTAGTAAGAGACGAAGAAATTCTTCTCAAGAAGAACTGCGCTTATGTGTATGCATTTATATTCTGATATCGAGTTTACGTTTCTAGAAACATATTAATGCATTCTGTATCAACACCACCTGATGCACCCTCCGGATATGATGGCACGTTTTGTATTTTGGCGTATTTGCCGCATGCAAGAACGGATCAGCCACAGAAACAACAGTTTATAAGTAATACACGCACCAACAGTGGAACAACGGGGTTATGCAACCGCTTCTAGGCAACGGCTCGGTAAACACACTTCCGCGCAGACGTAGTGATGACACACTCCAACAGTACTTAGCTATCACGTGATTTGTTTTCTGTGTGGGCCGCGCCACACAACAGTAGAACTGTTTTCTATGTTGTCCGTGCCGCGGCTGTATAACACGAGTTTGCTTGCAGTTCGTGTGGAGGCGGGTTCGAATACCTCCACCGTGACCCTGCTAGTCGTAGGAGGCGACGAAAAGGGAAGTCTCAAATTTGAGACAGTAATATATGGACTCGAGTACCAAGGGACTCGGACCCGAGAAAGACTGCACTGGCAAGGACTAGCAGCATATACAAAAGACAGACCCGTCTTCTCGCCAGAGAGGGCGCCCACAAAAAGAACAAGACCGTAACTGTCAAAGAGTAATAAAGATCTGGTCGCAAGCCCCGGATGGGTGCTTTATGCCAATACAGACTGACCGACTGACCGTCGGTCGTAAAATGAGACTTAGACTCAGCTAAGAAAAGTCCAGAAGAGTTTTTAGTTGAGTTCTGAGGTTCCAGGGTGATTGAACAAGAAATGGTAAGAAGACTTCATAGAAAATTGAAGTGCTAGTTTCTGTGTTGAGATCCGTTGCTAGGAGACGACTAGTGGAAATACAATTCCTAGTGCGTGTGGGACGGTTAACTGGAAAGTGTGTAATTCAGCGATAGCGCTGTATTAATTGTAATTAAGAGAGACTTTCACCGAAGTGCTAATAAATCCAATCATCCGAGCTAGAACCCGTTCTTTTCGTCACGCGTACCCCCATACACATGACAGTATCATCAGCACTGGCGAAACGTAGGCATGTCACTGAGGGGGGAATTTACCAACCCGATTAGCGCACACTTTTTTTTTATTGCTTGTGGGGTGGGACTAAATTCCTTGTACTGCGGCCACTTCTGGTCTATTGTACCAGCACCAGATGATAGGCGAGGGTGATTGTGGAGCAATTTGTGGAATGAAGATTGGCAAGGGAAACCGAAGTACTCGGAGAAAACCTGCCCCAGCGCCACTTTGTCCACCACAAATCCAATTTGACCAGACCAGGGATCGAACCCGGGCCGCCGCGGTGGGAAGCAAGCGACTATAGCACACACTAAGCAGCACATCATACTTTCAACACTGGCTGAGTTATGGAATAGTTTTATAAAGCTTGTGTTAACTTTAATTTCACTGGGTAGGCTCTGCCGCCGAGCTCCGCTGGTTAAATAAAACTGTTAGGCTTGGGCATGCGCAGAGGGCTCGGATATGAGAGCCAGCTGCACCCGAAGGGGTTTCCCAGTATATTTTCCTTATTTCAGAAGTGTAGATGGGCTGAAGTATCATGTCTTTTTCTTTTCCTAATAACTTATAAAATAGCGGATTTCGTGAAAAATCATGTCCAAAAGAGACAGTTACAGTCTGTGAGGAATGCTGCAGGTGCAATGAACATATTGAGTGAGCAAAATGATGACTCTTTGAAGTTCGTGATGATGATGATGTAAAATGTTCTTATGTGCCACACTGTATCATAGGGCGATACGTTCCTCCGAAACGTCGGTTAACACCACATATACACGGTGCCAAATCCCAGAAGACTGCTTTCTTCATAGTCACCGCCGTGAAAGCCTCAAATCTTACATAGTAGTCTATTGTACGTCCCCCTGTGAAGTTCTACCAGTCTCTATACCCTACCGGTACTGGTGCGTGCCATCAGCCCCTCTACTGGCTCAGCGGTACCTGATGCTTCCCCCCCTCTACCAGAGGCGTTAGAGATTCTTGTTGGGCGGTAAATGTCCGATAATTTGGCTCAGAGGCCTCCTTGATACATGAAGTTCTTTTACGTGCCGTAAAGCCCTGTATCATAATAAATGCACATGCTGCATGTAGGTCGGTGGTTAGTTATATAACTCAGTATCGATTAGTTACAGTCCCACGTTCAACACTAAAAGGCAAAACTATCCCCGTAAGAGACCGTGAAGGCCCACAGGGTTGTGAGACGTCGAGGCTCCCACATTCTCTCTAGACAATCAGCTCACAGATGGCGCTAAGGTTGTCAGCGTTACGCGTCGGTCGCCCTTTACCCCCAGGAAGATTCCTGGTACTCATTTCTGTTAGAGACTGAGTCGACCCTAGTGCCATAGTGGGGCTGGAAGGATTAGGTAAATTGAAAAAATCCACCTCATTTGGAGTCTAAGCCGCGATCTTCAGGCTTGTAGCATAGTGCCTCAACCAACTACTCTATCGCGTGCCCCCTCAAGTACAACACTATGTCTTATAAAATGTATTAACTTTAAATGTTTAAAAGTTTATCACTACATGTTTAGACCAATGTGTTAAAATTTTTGGTGAGGACACTGCTGTCTTCTGTTGTTGCTTATGTTGTTAAATATATGCGCATATATGTTTGAGCGCTTGGTTGTGTTCTCTCTTACTGTGTTTTTACTGCGTCTCTTGTTCCAGAATATAATATATAACTGTACTGTACATGTATATATGTACTTGTATGTATGTAATAGGCCGGTCACAGTAGGCGAGCGGTCTAAGGCATGCACTGTCTTCGCTCGCTTGGAAACCGCGATCGTGGGTTCGAATCCCACTCAGGGCATGGATGTTTGTGTGCGTTTTTCTGTGTTTGTGTACAGATAGAGGCCTTGCGACGAGCTGATCACTCGCCCAAGGAGTCCTACTGTATGTGTAAGATCTAGAAAAACCGAAGTGAACGGAGAAGTTCATAGAGGTAGGCCTAGGCCCACTGGTGCTGTAGTGCCAAAAACTATGTATGTAATAGAGAAGGATGAAAAAATGAAGCTTCGTAAAGTAACGTAGGTTCAAGAACTAAGAACGTAAGTGTATATGTACGTATGTAAATATATTTCCATTGAGTATACATTCGGACTGAAAAATTTTACATGCAAATATCCCGGCTAGCACCACGGATAGCATAAAGCTCACAGACCCAATTATAGTTATCTNGTGTGTTATACACCATCGTCAGAATCCTATAGTAACTACTTGTAGTGATCTTTATTCTGTATCCTTACGTTACATTGCAGACGTTCTTAAGTTGCAATGTTGTGATACAGAAGTGCCGAAGAAACTGTAAAATACTCCACACAAACTTTAAGACACGAAAAAATAATCGGTTACTTCGATCTGAAATAGCTGACTCAGTTACCTGAACACCGCCCAATGGATGCAGATCCTGTGGTTCGCCAGACATTAAACGAAGAACAGGACCACAAAAAAAACGTATTTGAACCGGTTTTTCGTTAGTATAAAATTCCTCGCGGAGAAATGGTGAAATTTGATGCCTTTGGTGGTGTTTTTGTTACAATAGACAAGTTAGGTGAACTCGAACAGATTCAAAACTAGACTCAGAAGAATAGAGGCATGTAATTTATGGGTCGATTATGTACAATCCAGAGACTCTTTGCTGCACAGCAAGTGACAGTGTTCATGAACAACAGAGCCATGTTTCTTGCTTAGCCATTTGCCTTGTTTGCAATATCATATCCGTGCTTGCCCCCATTGAACAAATCGACAGATTTTGACTAAACTTCCTACGGGCATAATACCACCAGAGTCCTTCCCTTATGTGTACTCTTCATTTCTGTATGAAGCTTCAGAAACTGCTGTATGCATTGGCAACGCTGACTTAACAACAGCCCTTTCTCTGTGTAGAGCTGCTGCTCTAGAAGTATCCATGTTCTTCCCTTAGGTTTTCGCGGCGGAGTCCAGTGTACTGGACTATAATATTATTATAATTATAATATTCTATATTATAATATCTATAATAATATATAATTATAATATATATAAGAAATATCAGAAAATGCTGCTGCTTGCTGACCGTGACAGTCAGCATCAATCCTGAGTCTGTACAGGGTTGCTGCTCTCATATTAAAACAATTAGGCCTATTCATATTTGTAACTTTCTGCACTTCCCACCAAACGTGTAAATATACATAACAGCATATTCATTACCTCGCTCTCCTTGGTGCTGGAGGCTGCGGACTTAGGCCTAGGCGTATGTGAATATTCCTCAACTGTCTACAGAGACCATGACAGCTGAGATCAAATCTAGAAGAATTGAATGTATAGGACATGTTCTGAGAACGGAAGTCATCAGGGTACTACAAAAAATCCTAGATGGAAGACCTGAGGGCAATAGAACCATTGGAAGACCGAGACTAAGATGGCTGGGCGCTGTGAATGATTTAAGAAATATGGGTTTGAGGCAGTAGAGAAAGAAGGCTGAAGTTAGACGAGAATAGGCAGGAATAGTCAGGGAGGAAGAGGTTAAACTTAAAAATATCCAGTACCTTCCTTTCTTCTCTGTTTTCTCTCTTTGGTCCCACGAGGTGCAAGGAGTTACCGTCGCTTGACGCACGTAGACAAACATCAATAAATATTCGTGTCGTTAACGGGATTCGAACTTCCAGTCTCTTCTGTTTCCTGTTTTAATACCGTTTTCTTTCATGCAATTTCAAATGTCTCTGTTTTACTAACTGCCTGCACATACCTTGGCCTCCAGGGTTTCCAGCTGCGCCATCCGCGGCTCCAGAGGCACTGCTGGAACTTGTCCAGGATGTAAGGCAGTCTGAAACACAGGAACATATAACTGTATTTGGAGTGCGCGAAGAGATCCTCACAACTTCTTCACCATATAAAGTTTATATGAAGACGAGACACCTCGAGGCAAATTCTTAAATATATCAGCGGCTTGTACGTGCGAGGTCGTCCTGTTTTTTTTTTTTCCCCCCCTTTTTCGTGGCCATCAGTGGCGACCCGCATCAAAACATCGCATCCTTATACGGTAATGCTTGTTCCGGCTAAATCATATCACGTTTTAGAGCATAGGGCTTATTTCTCAGTTTCATGCTCATTTTACAGACGGTAGGACTCCTTGTACGGCTGATCAGCTCGTCGCAAGGCCTCTACCTAAACACAGGACAACACAAACACAGAATAAATGTATACACACACAAAACATCCATGTCTTGTGTGGAATTCGAACCCACGATCCCGGCTTCCGAGCAAGCGAAGACAGTACATGCCTTAGACCGCTCGGCTACCGTGACCGGCCTGAGAAACAATTACACGGTTTTTAATGCAGTGAGATTATGAGTCTGTACATTCCATATTGCAAAGCTACGCTTTCGGGTGGAGACTGAAAAAAAAAAAAGGAAAAATAATGGCTGTTGTATCCGTAATATGTAAGCTAGTCCGTGACAACACCAAATGTAGTGTGAGATGTAATGAGATGTAGGAAATAACCACGAAAGAGGAGCCAGGGGAGATGTAGAAGAAATCAGTTATGGCTTCTTGTGATGAGCTCAACATTCCGACCCGTCAAGTTCTGCCACCTTTCTAACTACACTGAAACAAAATTCTGTGTGTAACGGAACTCCCCGCTGTGAGATAGTCTCCACTCTTTTGGGGTCCTAATAGTAATCTGGCATCCCTCTGCATAGACACACAAACATGCACATGTCTTTGTTGGTGTGTGTGTGTGTGTGTGTGTGTGTGCGTGCGTGCGTGCCTGTACGCATCCGTAATCACGCAACAGTACGCTGATTCAGTTCAGACGGCAACCCAATAAAGACTTATGTTCTGTATGAGGATGAAACCGACTTCCATAAACGTTTATCGTATACAAAATGGCAAATTATATAAAAAAAATATGAAGAAGGATTGCTCAGTTGGTATAGCGATCGTTTATTGCATATGTGCAATCAGCCATCATCGGGACAGAAAAATATATGCCCTACAGTAGGCCGATCGCAGAAAGCTCATTTAGAGGTTGTGTTTACCCCTGTCGTGTCCTCCGAAATCTTGTTATATCGTCTGTAGCGAAGGTTCAGAGCTGTCTTTCGATCACGAAATGAAACAGTCGAGCATCGTCACTCTCAAGACGCACGAGCCGACACTGAAGTCAATAATTGTGCGACAGGGGCGCCTGAGCTGCTGCAAGCAAGCCAGGTGGGTCGAGTTTTATTACGTGCCATTGAATGAGCTGCTTGCCCATTCTGTGCATGCGCTGTGAAGATATACAGCTTCACGGCTTAATAAACGAAGCAATATTCTTGCACACGGGTGTCCGGATATTGGCATCTATCTCTGTTCCATGACTTGTGTTCTTTTAGTAGTCATGAATCCCTTCTGTAACACTTCTCGGAAAAGAAGCTTTGTACGCTCTAAATTGTGTCCACATTATCATCCTATCAGAGTTGAATATAGGCATCAGATGGACCTACCTTACTCACATAAGCTGTATAACTAGAAGCCATTTGGGAGACCTTGACGAAGATAAGAGGATGATATTCAAATGTATCACAAAGAAATACGATTTGACGGTGTGGGTTGAACTCATCTGACCCGGGATAGGAACCAGGAACAGGTTACCGTGAACAATCTGATGAGCCATCGGGTTCCGTAAAAGTCTGAAGTGGGCGACTACTAGCTTCCCGAGAAGGACACTGCCACGAAAGTAATTTCGTTAGAGCAGACTTACTGTAGTGCCGATAGCAGTGGCCGCGCGGTCTGAGGCAGGAACTGTCTTCGCTCGCTCGAACTCTGGGATCGTGGGTATGAATCTCACTCGAGGCATGGTTGTCTCTGTGCGTTTATTCTGTGTTTGAGTTCTGTATGTAGTTAGCGACCTTACGACTGGCTGATCCCCCGTCCAAGGAGTCCAACCGACCGTGTATAGGATTAAGAAACTGAAAAAGCGGCCCAGGTTCAACAAAAGGGCTGTAGAGCCATAGATAGACAGATAGACATACTGTAATAATGTCGTGTTGTATTACATTTGATATAAAGGTAAAGGTAAAATAGTCCCTCCACCCAATTAGCCTGCCACGAAGACTTCTAGGCTGGTGGCAGTTTAGCTTCACGCATTAACTTCTGCAATAGATGGAAGTAATTCGAAAGCTTAATGCTCCGACCAGCTTACCCCTGGTATCAAATGGTCAGGAGTTTGGGTTGGCCTCAGAGCCAGCCTGGATGTGGTGGCGAAGAGACCTTCGACATTAAATCAGTTATATCGCGGTTATATTCTAGCTTGCTCATTGGCTGAGGTGGTCAGCTGATGCGTTGTGACACAAGGACAATTGTGTACTGACTCTCGAAACGTTCTGTAGCACTGCCTATTACACTGTATATATAACAGAAGATGGACAATGTCCAAGTTAATTACGGCGGTAAGACTCAACAATCGTCACGAACTTCTACAAAATAATTTTGTCGTACGTGAATAGTAAAACCAAAAGGAGCTATGTATCGTTTTATCGGGACTATTTCGCGGTCGTGTGTAATTTCATTACCGACTTATTGAAATATCAAACAGTAACTGACTCGAATAATGAATAATCAAAATACTGTAGCGTGTAGAGCCGTTACTATGCGACAACCGCAAGACAGGCAAATATAACAGATACGTTTCTAGGCAACGGCTCGGTAAACACATTCCCGCATCAACAGACACGCACGCAAAAATAAAAGATCTGTGCTTTTTATGTGGTCCGTTCCGAAATATTATAAGCAAGGAACAAGGTCGTAGTCAATTCTGTACGGGAGCCTGTAAAGAGAGGACTAGAGCGCGGAAGCTGAAGAATCTCCACTGTTAGAAACCGTTACCAGAAAGCGATTAATGGAGAATGTAACAGACTGATAACACTAATGTGTGTGTGTGTAACAGTGAACTGTAAAGTGTGGAGATCAGCGAAGGCGCTATAATTACTGGCAGTTACAAGTTGTGTCTATAAGTGGTCAATAAATCCGATTTCCAATCCAAAACCCCGCCGACAGCCACTCCATCACATGACAGTGTTGTTTAATTGAACTGATTAAGCACTTGAATCTACTTCGGCTCGTAGATTTATTGGGATAATTCGTATCGCTCTATAACAGCAGAAGTAGATACGTCATTCAGATAGTCCTGCTAAATGTTTCACAGATTAAATGAAAAGTGTATAAACCTGTAGGTCATTGTCCAAAACAATGAAAAGAGATAGGCTAGGACAGAAGAGAGAACACGCCTAGCAACTTCAAATTTGTAGATGATACAGTAGTTTATGATTCCTTCTTCATGGAGTGATGTCTTTCTTCAGGACGTGACATCAGGAATCAAAGTGAACGAACAAGGGACGGAAATGCTTCCTAACAACGCTGCAGCTACATCCACGTCGGAAATGAATGGGATAACAGCAGTAAGTAACGAACATTTCATATTTTTTAATTACAGTAGAACTTGGTTATAACGTCATCAAAGGGACCTAAAAATAGTGTCGTTATAAACGAATGTCGTTGTAACCGAAATGGGCACTTCCACAGTAGCCTTATGTTAGTCACGTAAAAATCTACCAAAAACCGAGTTAAAATGTTGCATTTTTTAGTGAAATACGTAGTTAAGTACAGACTAACGTAACATTAACGTGGAATTGCCCAAATGTGTAATATCAAAGACATATTACAGCGCTTTTCACTGACAATACACACCGCACTAATACTGTATATTAAAGGTAGGCCTACTCACCAAATTACAGTAGATTACATCAATTGTTGTGCCTTACTGTACCTAGATACGAGTACAGTAATCAGTTATCTTCATCTGTTTCCTGTTACTTGCCCAATACACACTTTCTAAATTACGTTCAATGTCCATATCAGAGAAATTCAGGAATGAAAATGACGTTACATACGAGGTTGATGCATTTGTGCATGTCGTACTAAGCAAGGTATAAAAACAGTTGCTTTATGAGGAATTAGTTCGTACCATTGAATATTTGACGCAATAGACAAGGCGTCGCAGAAACCGATGTTGCTATAACCAAGTTTTACTGTATTTACTAAGTGTCATATCTGAAGTGTTCTGTGCCACAAGCGTTCATTCCTGGTGAAATTTTCAGCGGCTCTGCTAGTCTTTCGCTGTTCAAGGAGTAACAGACTGAGGCTGTAACACATAAGCAGATTTCAGATACGAGAAGAGGTTGCCTTAAAGTAGATGTTTAATGTCAACATCAGAACCAAATGTTTCCTCGCTACCCCCCTAGTTCGTATCGTTTTATTCTAAAATGACAAAACGAATAAGGCAGGCCAAACTCTAAAGAACAGTTTATGAGAAGGGGTGAAAGTATGCCCCGTTGTATGTCGGGAACTGCAGCCAGAAATGTCTTAAATGCAATAGGTCTGCGGTAGGCCTTCACAAATACTGCAACCTTGTATCTTCGTCTCTAGAGTTCCTCAGCGCATATTTTTTGATATGGCCGTCTCAGTCACCTGACTTGAGATGAAAGTTAAGTCATGTTCACTGTAAGAAAAGACAATACTGAATGTATCGAGTGATATATGTAGATAGGGCACAGGAACTATAGTCGCATCAGCGTCTCACAGACGCGCCTCTAATGTTCGCGCTCGCATATTGTTGATATGGCCGTCTCAGTCACCTGACTTGAGAAAACTCCTATTTCATGAACTCTGTTGCTATTCCTTCTGCTTTGCTCCCTCCCCCGGCGGACAGGGGTCAGCAGAAAGCACATGACGTATACAGAAGCAGTGCAATTTATTTAACTTCAATGGCAAGGTTTTTACAAAATTTCA